AATGTTAAGGTTAGAATTTTCAATTTTGAGGTTAGAATCTCCAATTTTGAGGTTAGAGTCTTCAAATTTGAGGTTAGAATTCTAAATTTTAAGGTTAGAATTTTCAATTTTGAGGTAAGAATCTCCAATTTTGAGGTTAGAGTCTTCAAATTTGAGGTTAGAATTCTAAATTTTAAGGTTAGAATTTTCAATTTTGAAGTTAGAATCTCCAATTTTGAGGTTAGAGTCTTCAAATTTGAGGTTAGAATTCTAAATTTTAAGGTTAGAATTTTCAATTTTGAGGTAAGAATCTCCAGTTTTGAGGTTATAATGCCTTAAAGTCAACAGATAGCTCAAATAGACTGACTCTATTTGACTACCTCCATCCCACCCACGCCTATTCACTAAATAGCAATTCAATTCCACATTCCATCCAGCTGACAAGACATAAAAGACCTAATTTCTGTTCATTAAACTTGAATGACAAAATATGTTTGCTGTGTGCACGAAAAAAAACTTTTTTTCTTCTCAAATACGTTTCCATTAAACGCATCTCCGCTGTCGCCATAGTCAACATAACATTTTCAATTTGTTTCCACTCACAGACGCTTGCCTGACGGCAAATTATTCCTCTCATTTTTCTAGTTGACCAAATTCGAATGAAACATCAGACATGAAACTAAAAAAGTACACGAGATGAATACAAAAAGTCTCCTTTTGTGAGGCACAACTGCAAACATCACTTTCCGCTCTGTTCATCATCATCATTGATATAAAAAAAAGTTTTTTGAGCGTCTCATTTGCATTTCAATTGAAATTTGTGAAAGAAGTTACGCGTTTGAATTTTTGTGTGTCGTTAGGAAAAGTGTGAGGTTATGGTAGCGGTTTGGGGTGTTTATTCAAATTAAGGAGCTTAACTTTAAGGTTCTAAAGCTGATAAACTTGTTCTAAAGTTGAGCAGCTATTTCCAAAGCTGAGTTGCTGATTCTAAAGCTGAGAAACTAGTTTTAAAGCTGAGCAACTAATACTAAATCTAAGCAATTAGTGCTAAAGCTGAGCAATTAAATCCAAAGCTAAGCAACTAGTTGATAGTACAAGTGATAGTGCTAAAGCTGAGCAGCTAGTTTTAAAGCTGAGCGACCAGTGCTAGTGCTAAAGCTGAGCAACTAGTTTTAAAGCTGAGCAACTAGTTCTAAAGTTGAGCAACTTGTTCTAAAACTGAGCGACTAGTTCTAAAATTGAGATATAAAAAATTGTAAAGTCGCTATTTGTTCCAACAATATTTCACTTCCTTACTTGCAAAAAATTATTATTTTCTCCCCAAAGCCTCAACAAATACAAGTACAAGGGAAAAAAAATTCTCGTCTCATTCTCAACAGAGCTTTAAGCGATGAAAATGCCACAACAAGGAAAAAGAGCTTTTTGTATTTTCCAACGTAAAAAGAAATTTTACGTTACATATAATTTCCATGAAAAGAGGTTTTCCATCGTGTTTTCCACAGCAACAACAACGAGAGAAAAAAAAATATTTAAATTCCAACATTTAAAAATTCAAATCGTGTAGGTAGGAAAAGGATAATGAAATTCAATCATTTTTTGTGTGTTCCTATAAAGCAGATAACAAGGTGCTCAAGATATTTCAATTATTGTTTGAATTTGAGCGAAAAATGTACTTAAATGACAAGGATTTTCAATTATGATCGCTTCGAGTGACAAAAATTTTTGACTGATTGAGAGGTTTGATGATATTAAATTTGAGAGATAGACACGAGTTTTTGAATTTTCAAGTGCCAATTATGAGCGGGGAACATGCCATGAAAAAGTTGGGAATTTTTGATTTAGTGTAGGTTAGACACACACAGCCGAAGGGATGAATAAGTCAGTCACAGCCAGCCAGTCATCGAGCCATATAAAAAGAAGTACGATCCAGCCAGTCATACATACAGACAACAAAAACCACACACAAAACCATTTATACAGACTGACACAAGAAGCCAAAATTATCCGAATTAGCCTCATTAACAGCACAACAAACTTCCATCAACTCCAACAAAAACCTTTCGACTCACAACCAAAAACAGACCACTTTGATCTTATAATTACAAAGCTTACATCCATAACATTGAATTTCGCTCAATCACCGACCATTTTATCAATTTTCCTGCAAATAAAATTGATTTTCAATCAGCAAAAGTGCTTCGCTCGAGGCTAAAATTAATGTTTTACCAAAAAAAGCCTCTTTTCTCCAAACAGTCATCAAAAAGCCCCAATTGAATTGCGAATGACATCAACAGACGCAAAAAATTGTCTAAAAATAGCATAAAAATTGTTAAATCCATCAAAAAAAACTCTTTTTCATTGTTACAAAAATAATAAAAAATTTGTCATTGTATGACGATAGGAAAGGTTGTGTAGGTTACAATTATGAATGACTTTAAAAGACTTTTGACGTAAATGCGACACAAATGCTTCAATTTTGTCACCAAAATGACTTTTTTTCTACGAAGATAATTTTTAATGCTCATAAATTTTATTTGATGAATTCCATGGAGACTCACGATGCGAGGTTATTTTTGGTAAGAGCAAAAGTTCAAGCAGAGACACAAAAGAGTGATAAAAGTATTCCGAGAAGGAGAATGAACCTTGCGAAGGCAAAAGAGTTGGAATTTTGACGCTGAAGGGCTAAAATTCGACTACCGAGATGACTAAATGTTGATCAAGGGGATGAAATTCGACTACCGAGATGACCAAATGGGATGAAATTCGACTACCAAGGTGACTAAATGTTGACCAAGGGGATGAAATTCGACTACCGAAATGACCAAATGGGATGAAATTTGACAAACGAGATGACTAAATGGTGACCAAGGGGATGAAATTCGACTTCCAAGATGACCAAATGGGATGAAATTTGACAACCGAGATGACTAAATGTTGAACAACAAGGTGTAATTTGCTTCCGAGATAGCATGTTTTTACCGAGACGACAAAATTTCACTCGAGATGACAAAATTTTCAACAAAATTACCTAGACCAGCAATCGAACTAAAATATTCATAAAATTTCAAGAAATTCCCAACAATCTCCAAACACGATACAGTTCAGCAAGACTTCACAACGACTTGCGTGAGTATCACATATGTTGTGCCACTTTTTCCATTTTATTTGCTTTTATTCACGTTTCATGCCTCCTTTTCACCCACTCCATCTTCATTTCCACATCCAACAAAAACGTTATGTGATGATAAAAAATTTACGACTGATGACCTTAAGCAAGGCCTACTCATGCTCATTGTAAATGAATGAATAAGAAGTCACTTTTGCAATCACAAAATTGTTTGTGCGATAAAAAAGAAAATTTTTATGACGACAATTGAGAAAGAAGGAGGAAAAAAATGCTTGAAGTGATTTTTGTAGTTTTTTTTCTCTTCCTTTTTGTGTGCATAAAAGTGAAAATGTAAATGTAAATGTTTTTGAGCTTATTTTCTCGTTTATTGTTGTGTCTTTGGGGAAAGTTTATGCATTTTTATTTTATTTGCTCTGTTCGAAGTGGAATTCACAATTTAAAAGTTTGAAGTTGTAATGAGTTATGCCATGACTTAAAGTTTGATTTAATGAAAGACTTTACTGACTTTCCAAGAATATGGCGCACGAAGCTGCAATCAGATGTTTTTATAAGATAACTTTCAGATTATGACATATGCGAACGCTTTTCATATTTTGAGAAAAACTTTGCCGATTTTTCAAGAATATGGCGCACGTGACTCAAAAAATCGTTGCAATTAAAAAACAACAACAAAAAAATGAAGGCTAAAACGAACAAAAGAAGAAAATTTAATTAGAAATGAGTTTTGCATGAAAAGCTATTTTTCCGATGGGGTTTCACTTGTTTATTTCAAAGTGCTGGCTTTTCAGAATTAAGTGTTAAAGAATTCCATGAGCTTCTGTTGACGTTTGTCCTTCTTGTTCGACGACTTTTTTGATGGATGTCAACATTATTGGCGTGCGCCATATTCTAGAGAAGCTGTAAGGCTTCCACCCAGATATGTCAAATTCGAGATTAGAGCATTATTTTGTAGGAACATAGTAACGTTTTCTTATTAAAAGTACAAATTTTCAGTCCGTGCGCCATATTTGAGGACACATTAAAGTCTCTCTCCATGCTATGGTCTTTAGTTCATTAATCTCATTCATCTCATTCATCTTATTTCCTATAAACTTGATAAATAATTTTTATCATTACATGATAAAACTTAGTCTTGTGCGCTATTCTCTGTGGAGACAGTAATGTCTCCCCCCAAATATACCACAGAAAAATAATTCTCACCTCTTTGCACCACCTTAAAGTACTTCAATCCGTTAAATTTCCCCTCATTGTGCACATTTCCTTCTTTCTTGCAGTTCCACAAAAGAAACCGAAACCCGATAAGCCATCAAAGACACAAGAACCGCGTAGGCATTTAATTGCCCTTGAATCTCAAGATCGTTTGATTTTTTTCTCATCCTTCTCGATTACCAAAATATAAAATAAATTTATCGCGTTTTATGTTTTTTTTGCCCTCGAAGCCAAGTATGACATTGAGGAAGGTGGAAAAAAAAGTCGAAGCTGAGCTTTAGTGCGGTGTATTTTTACCGCATAAAGATTAAGATTTTTAATACGATATGTGAGCAGAGGTGAAAAAAGTAAACAAAGCTGGGAAAATGTAGAATTTTGTTGAGAATGAAATAAAAGGTTTCAGAATTTGGCATTTAGAGAAGCATTTTGTGTTATTTTAGATGCAAAGGTGAGAATTTAAATGATTTGTTTTGTGAAGATGCTTTGGATGGGTTTGGTGGAAATGTCAAAAGCAGGTTTTGAATAAATTTTAAGGTTAAGTGAGAAAAATGAAGATTTGGGGATAGACATTAATGTTTTCATCAAATATGACGCACGTTGGAACATATAGAAAGAAATAACACATAAAAAGAGCTTAAAAATCAAAAGGGGTACACAACTACATCATAAATCATATATTTCTCACCTGCATGGATCCCACACGAGTACACCCCGTCCAGGACATTGATCTGCTTTGATAATATCGCAATCATTTACATTACAAACACATTTTAAGGCATTCAATAATTTTGCATTTATTAGAACAAGAAAAATTATGATTTTGACGAAATTTGTTGGCACGTCGAGGTGCAGACAGTTTTGTCTTAGCTTTTTTGACATTTTTGTATCCAAATTTTGAAGATTGTTTGGTAAATTGATAAGGTTGGGATTTATTGTTGGGTTTTGCATCATTTTTAAGGTTTGTTGAGATGCAATTTTGTTTATAAATTTTTTTTTTGTGTTTGAAAGTTCACATATTTTTTTAAATTTTGTTTTAAATGATTTTTTTAATTTTTTGCACTTTTAAAACTTTTTTTATAAATTTTAAAATTTTTTAACAATTTTTTTAAATTTGAAGTTAAAACTTTTTAAACTTTATTCAATTTTACTAAGGTTTTAAAAAAAAAATTCTCAATTTTTTCAACTATTTCAATTTTTAAAATTTTTTTTAAAATTTGTGTTTTTACTTTTTCAATTTTTTTTTTCAATTTTTTTTTCAATTTTTTAAAAAAATTTTTTCAATTTTTAAAATAATTTTATTTTTTTAATATTTTTCAAGAATTCAAGAATTTAAGTTTTTTTTAACTTTTTTCCGCTCACAATATTTAATTTTTAATTTACTCAACCACTTTTCTTGTTTATATTCATGTTCCGCCACCCAGTACACAGTCTACATCCGCATTTCATATAACTTTTTTATTTATTCACATCAAAAATTCATCAGTCAGCGTTTATTTTCTCTCTTTCTCTCTCGTGCCTGTTTCGTCGACTCAGTCGTCTACAATTTTACGTCAACATTAAATCCATCTATGTAGAAAGAGACAATTAGCGTCAGATTCAATTAATTATTCCTCGCTTCCCTTCCATTTACTGAACTTTTTTTTTCTTCTTTATTTTTATTTCTATTTTCTGTGTTTGTGTTTTTTGAAGCTCTTGCTGTTCCGGTCGTCGCTTCCTATTTCTGCTTCTGTGGAGTAAATTTTTGTTTTTGATGTCAGCTTTAATGATGTTTTGTGCTTGGACTTTATTTTGGATTAAGTTTCGATTGAAATGACAGTTTTTTGGATGGGTTTGGAATGATTTTCATTGAATTTTAGATTCATGCGCCATATTTTAGGAAGACAGTAATGTCTCTCCCAAAATATACCAAAAATCAGTTGTGTGCGCTATATTCTAAGAAAACAGCAATGTATTCCCCCGAATATGTCAAAATGACCTCTGATTCAGAAAAGCATCCAAAAACAACCTTAAGCATCACAAAAATACTTCGCAATTGTTCCCAAAATAACTTCAACAAAGCTTCATTTTTGAAATTTTACGAAAAAATAAAAATTTCATTCTTTTTTACATTTGTCTGATTTTTCTCATTCAGATCATCTTACGGCACTAACTGTGCTCCATTCATCTACCCCGAGGGAAATTTTTTGTTATCTTTTCTTGACAAATTTTTATCATTTACTTTTCCCAACATTCTTTGTAAATTTTTTTGTTGTCTTCTTCCTTTTTTTGTGTTCTGTTCAAAAATTATTCCAATGGCAATTTTACGATAATGAAGGTAAAAGTAGAGGAAGAACAGCAACAGTAAAAACGGATGAATGGAGGCAAGAAGACCAGCAACAGACGAAGTGAGTGAATTGCGATGCAGAAAATTATTAATGAGGATTAATTTTTAGAAAATAAGTTCTTGAGAAGGGTTTTGATGTTGGGTGGGAGACGGTTTAGGGGTAAATCTGTGCAACTAATGAATTTTTTAAGTAGAAGACTGAAAATTGGCTATGGAATGTTTGTCAAATTTATGAAATTTTTACCAGAAAATCTGGCAACACTGCATATTTTGAAACAAATTAATGAAAGTTTGAACAGAAAATCTGGCAACATTGCAAATTTTGAAACAAATTAATGAAAGTTTGACAAAAAAAAATCTGGCAACATTGCAAATTTTGAAACAAATTAATGAAAGTTTGACCAGAAAATCTGGTAACATTGCATATTTTGAAACAAATTAATGAAAGTTTGAACAGAAAATCTGGCAACATTGCAAATTTTGAAACAAATTAATGAAAGTTTGACAAAAAAAAATCTGGCAACATTGCAAATTTTGAAACAAATTAATGAAAGTTTGACCAGAAAATCTGGTAACATTGCATATTTTGAAACAAATTAATGAAAGTTTGAACAGAAAATCTGGCAACATTGCAAATTTTGAAAAAAATTAATGAAAGTTTGACAAAAAAAAATTTGGCAACATTGCAAATTTTGAAACAAATTAATGAAAGTTTGACCAGAAAATCTGGTAACATTGCATATTTTGAAACAAATTAATGAAAGTTTGAACAGAAAATCTGGCAACATTGCAAATTTTGAAAAAAATTAATGAAAGTTTGACAAAAAAAAATCTGGCAACATTGCAAATTTTGAAACAAATTAATGAAAGTTTGACCAGAAAATCTGGCAACACTGCACAATTTGAATCAAATTATCAAAACTTTACCTGAAAATCTGGAAATGTGGCAAAATTTTGCTCAAAGGTCAAATTTGTTCTAAAATTCTGGAAAATATTGCAAAAAAAGGCTCAAATAACCTAAAACTGACCTGAAAATCTGGCAACATAGCAAATTTTAGAAAATATTAATAAAATTTGACCAGAAAATCTGGCGACATAGCAAAGATTTAGAACCACATTAATCAACCTAAAGCAATCTGCAGAGCCTCAACCCAAAAAATTATCTCAACTCGACCATCAAGAAAACTTTTCGCGCAGCACCAAAGTGACAACAAAAATAACGCAAAAAAGAAGAAAAGGTCGATGTCACAGCATGCAAAAGAAAAAGTTTTACGTCAAGCAGAAAATTTAATTTTTTCACTTCTAATTTGCCCGTCATTTCCTTTAATTTCCTCATGAGAAAATAATTTTTTCGCACTTTTTTTTCTTTCGCCTGCCTCGAAAAATTCAACTCAATTTGATTTCATTAATTTTCCTCTCACTGAACTCGATGGAAATTTTTCATCGCTTTTGTTGCTTTTTTGTCGCTTTTTAAGCGTGGAAATTTTCATTGTTTTTCTTGATCTTTTTTGTGAAACGAGAAAATTTTTTTTATATTTTTTTCAACATTTTTTTTGCCCATTCAAATTTGAAATCCTGAAGAATTTTCTCAACTCAGTAAATTCAAAGTCTGTTTCATGCGAAAAAAATAAAGAGTAATTTGGAAATTTTTTTAGTGTTATTAAATGGGAAAGTTTAAGAAATAAAATTCCTGACCTAGAACTGTCAAAATACGCTCGGAGATTTATGAGAAAATAAGCAGAATCTGGTTCGTATTTTACTCGCATTTTTTTGTGAATTAGAGTCGAAAGCTGGTGTGGTTGGTGGGAAATGATGAGGGCTAGATTAGCAGTCAAGGAAGTATTAGAATTGAATTGAAATTGAGAATAATTTTTCGTACACAAATTAAACCAAATTGCGAATTTGATGTCAAATTTAGTCAAGTTTATCATAAGTTCAGTTAAATTAGGGATACGTTCAGTTAAGTCAGGGATAATTTCAGAAAATCAAGAATTAGTTTAGTTTAATAAGAGATAAGTTCAGTTTAGTCAAGGAAAAATTCAGTCAAATCAAGCATAGGTTCAGTTTAGTCAAGGATAAGTTCAGTCAAATCAAGCATAAGTTCAGTCAAATTAGGGATAAGTTCAGTTTAGTCAAGGATAAGTTCAGACAAATCAAGCATCGGTTCAGGCAAATCAAGGATATGTTCAGACAAATCAGGGATAAGTTCAAACAAATCAAGCATAAGTTCAGTCAAATCAAGCATACGTTTAGTCAAATCAGGGATAAGTTCAGTCAAATCAGGGATAAAATCAGTTAAATCAAGAATAAGTTCAGTCAAATCTAGCATAAGCTCAGTAAAATCAGGGATAAGTTCAGTCAAATCAGGGAAACGATCAGTTAAATCAATGATAAGTTCAGTTAAATCAAGCATAAGCTCAGTCAAATCAAGGATAAATTCAGTCAAATCAGGGACATGTTCAGACAAATCAAGCATAGGTTCAGTTTAATCAAGGATAAATTCAGTCAAATCAAGAAAAAGTTCAGTCAAATCAGGGATAAGTTTAGGTAAATCAAAGATCAGTTTAGTCAAACTAAGCATAAGCTCATGAACAATTACATTCAAAATTGAGATAAGTTCAGTTAAATTATTCACAAATTTCAATCAAAATAATAAAAAATTTAAAAAGTCAAAAATCCACCAACATCCAACCTTTCCATCACCTAATTAACCCATCAGCCACCCCAACTCACGCACATTAATTCCTTTTCTTGTTTTTCTTGAATAATTTCGCATAAATTTACCATTCAAATGTTGCATGTAATTTGAAATTCAAATAGTCTCGGATCGATTGCAAACTAGCTCTGAACCTGAAAATGTTCTTGGTATTTTTCAGCCAATTTGCATGATTTTGAATATTTGTTAAGTGATGAGAAGATGGATTTTAATTATGTGGGTAACAATTGTAATTAAATGCGGGTGAATTTGAATTGATATGATGCTCGATGTTGTAATTAGAAGAACTTAATTGAAGGTTTCAATTGAAGAAGTTTTTGATGGAAATTTTTCAAATTTATTGAATTGAATTAGGAGGAATAATAGCAAATAATAGGATTTGTTGATTGAATGAAGGCGTTTGAATCATTTGGGAGTATTTGAATAGATTTTCGTAATTTAATTAGTAGCTTGGTTTGAATTGTGAGCAATTTGTTGTTAATTGGATTGAACTTATCCTTATATCAAGGATACGCTTAGTTAAACTATGGACTATATCGGATATAAATTGATGCGTATCGAGGATTGTTTCAGCAAAGTTAGAGATAAGTTCCGTAATTTCAGGGATTAATTAAGTAAAATTGATCAAGTCTAATTAAAGTTGCCCTTTATTTGACTAAACTTATCCTTGATATAACTGAATTTATCTCTAATTTAGCTTATCTTATGCTTTATTTTACGGAACCTATCCCTAACTTGACTGAAACTATCATTAATCCGAATCAACTTATCCCCGATGTAAAACACAGTTTAACTGAGCATATCCTTGATTTAACTGAAGTTATTATTTATTTGAACAAATCTAGGATTCTACTGAACTTATTCCTTGACTAAAATGAACTTATCCCTTGACTAAAATGAACTTATCCCTTGACTAAAATGAACTTATCCCTTGACTAGAAT